GAGAGCACAGCCTTTATCAAAGTTAATCTGCCTCCAAGAGAAAGATATTTGCCTTTCCAACCATCGAGCCTCTTCTGATATTTATCTACAACAGAGTCCCACACCGAGTAGCATTTGGATTTGCTCCAAGAGGGAACCCCAGATACTTAGAAGGCTCCCCACTCCACTTGCACCCAAAGATAGAGGCAAAAAACTCAGGATTTGGGACGTCCCCAACAGTGAACATCACGATTTCTCCAAGTTAATCCTGAGACCAGTGACCGTCTGGAAGCAAACCAAAGTGGCAAGAATATTAAGAACCTGACTGTACTCCGCGTCGCAAAAGATTAAAGTGTCGTCTGCAAACAGCAAGTGAGTCACCTCACCCCCACCATTCTCCTCGCCAATGAAGAAACCAGAAATCTTCCCACTGCTACTAATCCAGAAATCATAAAAGACAAGACATCCATAATTAGAGTAAAAGACCTGGGATAAGGGATCACCCTGTCTCAACCCTTTCTGCGTACTGAAGAAACCTTTCGACTCCCCATTAATGAGAACCGAGATCTTTGGGCGGACATGGTCCCTTCAATCCACTTCTGCCATTTCTCAGAGAAACCCATTCGAGAGAGGATATGAAACAAACAACCCCAATTAACTTATCAAAAGCTTTCTCAATGCCTAACTTGAACATCAAACCCGGCTTCCTGCTCCTTTTCCTGCTATCAACCAGCTCAAAAGCGATAAGGCCCGCGTCACCATCTGCCTACCCTTCACAGAAGCATGCTGGTTAGGGGAAACAGATACGGGAGAACACACCCCAATCTGCGCGACAGTACTTTGCTAACAAGCTTATTGAAACTGCCCATGAGACTGATAGGCCTCAAATCCTTGATGTCTTCAACCGCATCTTTCTTAGGAACAAGACAATAAAGGAGTGGGTAACGCAATCTGGCAGAAAACCAGTGTCGAAAAACTCTTCAAAAGCTTTAATAACATCATTCCTGATCCAATTCCAGCTTTTCTTATAGAATTCCCAAGTGAATCCGTCCGGCCCAGGGGCTTTCCCACCATCGCAATCAACAATGAGCCCAGATCTCCCCCTCCGAGAAAGGCATGTTAAGAAACCCAGAATCCGACTCCGAGACCTTGCTGCAGTTGTAGGAGAGAGGGAAGGGCCGAGATCTGATGCTATCCCGGAACAGCCCTACATAGAAGCTCACAACCCCTTCAGAATCTCCTCTCTACCTTCAATCGAAATGCCATTAACCTTGATACGCCCAATGTGATTAACTTTCCTCCTGTAATTAGCGAACCTATGAAAATACCCTGAGTTCCTGTCTCCTTTGTGTAGCCACAGCTCCCTCGATTTTTGCCTCCAAGAAACTTCAAGCAGATCAAGGGTGATGCCAATCTCCGTTAAACATTGCTCCCTCGCTCTCACCTCCTCGATCGACAAAGGCCTCGACTCTTCTTGCTGGTTTAGGTCCTGAGCCTTGGCCATGAGGTCCGCAAGCTTCTTATTCTGGTCCCCAAACACCTCCCTGTTCCACACCTTGATTTTGTTCTTAAGATCCTATAATCTCCGCGCCCACCGAAACGCAAAACCCCTGCCTTGAATCCGCGAAGCATACCAACTACTTAACCCAGCGAAAACTAGCGTCTTCCAACCACATATTCTCAACTTCCACGGCCTATGCACCCTGCGGCTGTCGCCCCAAGAGACGAGCAAGGGATTGTGATCTGAGACAATACGCTCAAGCGCAGAAAGGGAGCAGTCTGAGAACATAGAATCGAACAGGACGAGACAAAGGCTCTATCAATCCGAGAGAGGCAATTGCTATCCCCTCCTCTACTCCAAGTGAAGAACTCCCCCCGAGCGGAAGCTCCATAAGCCCTACAGGCATCGATAACCGAATTAAATTCCGTCATAAGATTTTGACTCCGACGGCTCCCTCTGTACTCATCATGGCTACGCACTAAGTTGAAATCCCCGGCGAAGCAATAGGATCTTGACTAGCGTGACCAATAGAAAGCAGCTCATCGAGAAAAACCAGCTTATCCTCCCTATCCTGAGGCCCGTAAACCACCACCAAACGCCAAGATTTCAGGTAGCAATCTCCTGCAGAGAAACCTCAAGATAATGCCTCCCTTCTCTGCTGTTAGTCACATTAAAGATATGCTTGTCCCGAAAATAACAATTCCCCCACAGCTGCCAACCGCATTCTTGGATACCCACCCAGAATCAGCCGTACCACCAACGCTCTTAACCTTGAAATCATCACAGCTCGCCCACTTGGTCTCAATCAACCCACAATTTTGGCCCGACTGCTGTTCACAATTCTCTTAACTCTAGCCCTCTTACCCCCGTCGCCAAGTCCCCTGACATTCCACACACAATACCGAGCTGGCCATAAAAACAGAAAAATAAATCAGGCAACCCTTTTCTTCCTCCGCCTAGGCTCCGGTGGCGGATCCACTATCGGCCCAAGGCGAATCCTTTCCATATCGAGCTTCGTTCTGCAGGGGCGGACTTTCCTCTGATGAAGATCTGCAGCCTGATTCGCAATCACGCTTTCAACCTCGCTTTGACCCCCCAAGCGTTTAAACCAAACAACTCCCCCAATTCACACTCGTAGAGATCAAGGTGCCCACATCGAATGGAAAAGAGTCTTGACTCCATTCTTTTACCTGACTGTCAGCCACACAAGAAGGTGATGGAAAGAAGACATCAGGTGACTGCCCTCCTCGCCTCCCGGGGAGACAGAGTGAGTGGGAGTAGCCGGAGGCGAGGAAGGAGGAGTAGTCAGGGCCGCCGTCGAACAAAACTCCCCGCCGGCTCAGAATTCGAAATCCTCAATAAAGCGGGGGCAAGGGACATTCTTCTTGACCATAATTTCGAGAACCCCAGGATTTGAGGCGCTGACCCAAATCGTCGCTTCCAGGCAGCGCAGACTCTCGCGCAATGATGAAGCCAAACCGATCCCCTGTCTGAAGAAACTGCGATCGGGGCTGAGAGGGAAATGGTAAAGAGGCACTTGGCTGGCTTCAGAAGAAGGTCTTTAAGGAAGAGAGCGGCTTGCGAGGCCAGAAAGCCCAAATCCTTGTACCCCGAGGTCTGACACCACAGCCCAGAATACTCAACACTTCTATCACACTTCTCCATCGGACAAACAGACCCAGAAGGCCATTATCTGGCCCACGAAAGTAACCAGCCAGACTAATATGGCTGGGCTTACGAGCCGGCCGGCCTTTCTTACCCAAACGCGTCTGCTCGGCCCAGAATGGAGACCAACCCTATTGCTGATTGAGTCTCGGTGAATAGTCCCATGCAGGCTGACAGCGGCCGACTTGCTTTGATGCAAAGAACGACCTTTCGAATTCTTCCTTGAGATCAGAGCGCCGCCCTCCGAGGCCGCAGGCCTGTGAACTTCCACTTCTTTCATCTCCCGGCCGTTCTTAGCCAAACTCACCGCACTCGCACCAGCCGGCGAGAAATCCGGCGAAGAGCGAACAAGGATGTAATAGCATTGGTCTCCGAATACCAGTGGAACTTCCTCCGGAATAGACCCATCACCTTTCACTCTTATCCTGACAAACGAGGAGCTCCAAGAGTTCCAATCAACCTCCACCAAACCGCCGCAAAAATCCCCGATAGTTCTAATCAGATTGACACCTCTTGAGGTGAAGTGGAATTCCAAAGACCATGATCCAACGGGCATCAGAGGCCAAAATCAAATTGGTGGCAGCCTCCTTCCACATAGTGGCCTGAACCAAAAGCTCTTGAATTTAAGATGATCAAGCTCTTTAATCCGAAGAAGTTCCCGGAGACTCGGACAATGAAGAAGCCACCTGCCGTCCTCCAATTCCTCCAGGCCAAAGTTTGAGTCTATCAACCAGAACCTCTCCGCCCACCTTCTAAATTCACCCACCTGTGCTTTCGTGAAAAACTCATTGGAGGATGAGCAGAACCTCAAAACAGACATCTATCCAAAGAGCTAATCCTTTCAGATACTCCTATAGAGCCAACCTTAACATAACAGCCGTCTGGATCATTAACAATCGAGCAGCTCCCCGCCCCATAAAAACCTCCTCCTTGAACGACTTCAGCGTAGGTTCTTCTCGCCGCCGCGCTTGCCGGGAAACTGGAGCCACCGGAAGGTCAACCGCCGCAAGAGACGAGGACAACTCCTCAATTCGCAGACGTTGTTCCTCATGGTAGAACTGCTGCAGCAGGGAGATGATGCACGCCCATCCCTTGAAAGGGCCCGCTGAAGGAATGAGCACCATGAATGATTTGCCACCCGAACCCTGCTCGGAGATCTGCAACATATCCCCATTTCTCCTCCCCGTTCTGCCCACATGAATCGTTCTCATCCCACTCTTTTTCACACAGCCCGCCGGAAAAAACCAATTACGCATCGCCGCAGTTTGCAAAACCCCTTGTAGCCAAGCAAGCTGTTTCTCGTCCATAACAATGGACCACTTCCTACCCGCGTCCTGCACTTGAAGTCTATACCCATCCAAACCTCCGAACAGCCCTTTGCTAAGCCTGATTGATCTAGACCCCGTCTGTAGAACCCGCTGACAAACAACCCGAGAGTCGCCACCGTCTCTTCGCCTCGAAGCCCGGGACCTGCAAAAAGAGGAAACAAACCGACGCCCCTCCCCTACCCGTGCGCTCACCCTCTCGGAATCACACTCAGCCCGATCGCTCACACCTCTCCTGAACTCTCCAATGCCGGTTTCGCCCTGCAATGGCTCCCCGACCTCTCGACTCCCCCGCTCTCATGGCGTTCCTAGTTCATTTTCATTGCCAAACGAGATAAAACCCAAACGGAGTATTTACTAACTATACTTTCCATCACTTGGCAACTATTTTGGACCGCATGTATGACCGCAAGCTTATTGA